GCCTCACATGCCTCAGGATATAGTTGCACTTATGCTTATGTTTTTCTACAGTGAACTGATAAAAGACATGATAAGCAAAAGGAAAAGGCATAAGGAATGAAATCAGGAGGAAAAAACCCAGAAGAGCTTTTCTCAGTGGAGTCACACAGGATATAGTTAATGCTATCCGCAACCATTTTTTTTAGGGGGGGGTCCGGTCGTGGGGCCTGAACTCTGGACCTGACCGTTGTCCCTCAGCTCTTCAGCTCAAGGCTAGCGCTCTACCACTTGAGCCACAGCGCCACTTCTAGCTTTTTCTTTTTGCTTATGTGGTGCTAAGGAATCGAACCCAGGGCCTCATACATGAAAGGCAAGCGCTCTACCACTGAGCCACCTTCCCAGCCCCAACAAGTTTTGACAATATATATTATTTTCCTTCTACCATAAAAGCCCATAGAGATTCAATAGGTACTCTTCACCATAGCTCCAACCGAAGTTCCATACACCAAATCACATTGGTTATACAAACAGTTCTAGAAATGAGAGAAAAACTCTCAAAATCCAAATTTGCAGAGGCCAATTACCTTACAAGAAATAACAAGCAGTTATGCTGTGTAGTATTGCTTCTTCTTTATTACACCATTTGGGCATATAATTTAAAATTTTAATATGAGTTAGGCAGCTGGAAATGTGGCTTAGTGGTAGAGTGCATGAAGCATGAAGCCCTGGGTTTGACTCCTGAGTATCACATAAACAGAAAAAGCCAGAAATGGAGCTGTGGGTCAAGTGAGAGAACACTAGACTAGTACAGAGGAGCTCAGGGAGAGTGCCCAGGCCCAAAGTTCAAGCCCCAGGACTGGGAAAAAATTAAACATAGAACAGTATTATCTCTGTACAAAATAAAGGTTCCTAGAAGTTCGATTCCATTTCAAACAACTAAATTAGCCTAAGTTTTGGACCATTATCAAAGAAGTTTTCTACAGTACAAAATAGTGAAATAACTCACTCTAAACATATAAACCCTAAAGGAAACATGAAAATAACAATTAGAAAAATAGTATGAGAATAAAAACAATAAGTATAGACCAGGAGCACAGGACCAGTAGCTCAAACCTGTAAACCCACCAATGCTACAGGCAGACAGGAGGATCATAGATCCAAGTCAGTCTAGGAGAAAAGGTTGAATCTTGCCTAAAAACAAACTGGATCTTACCCACGTAATTGTAACACCTCTGTACAGTATTTTCACAATAAAAAAAACTGGATATAGAGGATTACGCTTTTAATCCTAGCTACTCAGGAGGCTGAGATAGGAGGATAATATTTCAAGGCTAGCCCTGGCAAAAGCAGAAGATCCTATCAAAAAAAAACAAAAAACTGTAAAGCAAAAAGGCTGGGGATCCAAATGACAGAACACTTCCTTCAAGGGTGACACTCTGAAGTCATCCCAATACCACCAAAAAAAAGGAAAAAAAGATTATTAAACTTTGTACTGATAACAGAAAAATCAGCATAAAGCATAAGATTTCATTTATTAGAAAGACTTTTTGAAAAAAAAAAAAGAAAGACTTTTTGAACTTTTGTTAATTAGTTGCCCTGAAGTACTACATAAAAACAATATTTTAAGAAGTGACGCTGTGGCTCAAGTGGTAGAGTGCTCACCTTGAGCTGAAGAGCTGAGGGCCAACACCCAGACCCAGAGTTCAAGCCCCATGACTGACCAAAAACAAAACAAAACAAAATTCAGGTCTTCTTCCTTCTTTCAAACAATCCAAAAACTTTTAAAAGTGTGCATGTGACGGCGGGGGGGGGGGGGTAGGGGAGGATCTATATCTATGCTGCCATCATAAGGACAAACTAAGCAACACATACTAGTAAAATAATTATATTTAGAGGTACTTTTTTGTGAGTGTACCAGTCCTAGGGCTTGAACTCAGGGTCTTGGTCCTATCTCTAAGCTTTTGTGTTCAAGCCTAGTACCTGAACCACAGCTCCACTTCCAGCTTTTTGGGGTTAATTGAATATGAGTCTCATGGAATTTCCTTCCAGGTAACTGTAATCCCAGAAAAATAATGACTGGTTAATATCTTTGGATACTAATTCAATTAGATACTGTCATAGTTACGCCAATCAGGAAAAAGAACATAAAATAATTTGAACAAAGTAAGTTTACTATGAAGAATTAACTATAATGGGAGAATAACTATTAAGAAAAAAAAAGTATCCCAAGGAAGAGCAAGCATAGGAAGGGTGGGAGTGAGAATCTATTTTCTAGAGCTGGCACTCAGATCTCCCTATAGGGAGCCTAACTGTAGCTGTGGAAATTTGCTGGAATGTCCAGTCAAAGTGAAGGCACAGGAAGCCCAGTTTGGCAAGCACGTAAGCAAAGGCAATCAGGGCTCCCACGAACCAGCTCACTAACAAGACAGAAAGAAGCCTATGGTGCAACATATCTATGTTGGGAGGGCTACAAGTGAGACTCACAGAACCAGAACCAAAACTCTGAGCTTGCAGAGGAACTGCGTGCAAAGAAGGTAGAATGCAGTATCACTGGATGGCCCCAGACCTTGTGGCAAAGAACAAGAGAGCACACAGGAAGCAGAAAGAGAATTCTCTCCTTTCTGCAGTGTCCCTCCAGCTCCCTCTAGTGTCACAACTGAATACTGCTTTGAAAGAAAAGTAAAGTCAAAGGTAAGTAGATTTGTAGTCAAGAAGCAATGATAACTGATACATAGAATACTGATATACAGATATACATGATATGCAGAGAATATTGCTGAAATATCTCTCTTTTTTAGGAATTTTTTTCACTTTTTTTGGTTGGTCGTGGGGCTTGAACTCTGGGCCTGAGCGCTATCCCTCAGCTCTTCAGCTCAAGGCTAGCGCTCTACCACTTGAGCTACAACACTTCCTGAAATACCTCTATCTTTTATAATTACTCAGCATCCAGGTTACAAATATAAATTTCTTAAAGCAATGAACTACTACCACAATATACAACAGTACTACTACTTACAAAGATTCAATAAAAGCTCTAACAGATTTGCAGATTATACCAATGTTGATTTCCAAAGTGTGAGTAATGCACTTTAGTTACATATGATGTTGCCAATGGGGAAAGCTGGAGGAAGTGTATGTAGAACCTCTTGGTACAATTCCAAGTTCCTGTGAGTCTGTAATTATTTTAAACTAAAAATGTTTTTTAAGACAACTATTGTTTTTGTTGTTTTGTTATTGTTGGTGATGGTGGTAGTGATGTTTGTTTTTGCTTTGGGTTTTTTCCCTTAGGGGGAAAAGGGAGACACAGAAATGGAGGGAGGGAGGGTGAACAAATGCAACTATGCTATTTAGTATTATACACTATGTGGAAAATGACCTATGTAACCTGTGGGCAGGGATGGGAGGGGAAAACTGGGGGCAAGCAAAGGAAAGAGTGACACTGCCAAAAAATGTACTCATTACCTGGCTTTTGAAATGATAACCTCCCTCCATATACAGTCTTAGTAATAACAAAATTATATTTTTTAAAAGAATTGTCTTTCTAGGAGCTGAAGACAGGACTCAAATGGTAAAGTACCAGCTGGGTAAGAATTTTTTTGCTGAAAAGTTTTGGCCAAGTGTCCTGGTTTTGGTTGATTGCTCAGCTAAAACTGTTAGCCCCTCTCAAACTAACCAACCATACACGATTGTGAACAAAAGTTCTGAGCAATCCTAACAAAGGACAGTAATAGGTTCAGATAAAGCCTGAGTGCTCTGCTTGCCCAGCAAGCATGCTTCCTGGACTTCTTGTCAGTAGCATACCCTTCTGCAGAAGTAAACTTTACTTTGCCAATTAAAAAAGCTGGGCTGGAGGTATGGCCCAAGAAGTAAAGTGCCAACCAAGCAAGCAAACTAAAAAAGCATGAGACTTAGTGCCAAACAATGAGAAAAAACAGCACCTTGTGCTTTGTTTTTATCTGTAAGATTAAACAAAACAACAGACTATAACTGCATGATGTGTAAAAAAGAAAAAAAAGCTCTGGAATGTAACAGTAGAGAGTTAAGTGATCAGATGAAATCTAGAAATACTGGGTATTATTAGAAGCGTCTACTTCAATACTAGGGTTCTGTGGCTTGGTAGACTAACAGATAGGAAACTTCAAAAAACATTAAGAATTCAGCACATTCTAAACAGACAAGACTGGATATACTCTTCTCAATGCTGTAACTGGAATCCACATTAAAGATAGCCACATTGTCTGAGCTACTCCTCTGGGGATCAGAAACCCCTGCACTCTTCTATGCACAATCCCAAAATGCCTCTTCTTAGTGGCTCAGTAGGTAGCTGCCAGAAGAGAGGTTAGTTTAAAGGGGAAGAACTTCAACAATAATCCACTGAAACTTTATTCAGTAAAAAGAACAGTCTGAAGTTCAGAGGAAAGTAGAATACATTTCCAGTGCTTTCTTGGGGAGGACCTTCAACCCACCTGTCAGCATCAGAACTTGTAAATCCATAGCTATGGAAAAAAACTCACAAAGCCATGTGGCTGGTTTTTTTGAGATTTTTTTTTTTTTTTGGTTGGTCGTGGGGCTTGAACTCTGGGCCTGGGCGCTGTCCCTCAGCTCTTCAGCTCAAGGTGAGCACTCTACCACTTGAGCTACAGCGCCACTTCCATTTTCTGGTGGTTTATTGGAGATAGGAGTCCCATGGTCTCTCCTGCCCGGGCTGGCTTTGAACCGCGATCCTCAGATCTCAGCCTCCTGAGTAGCTAGGATTACAGGCGTGAGCCACCAGCGCCCGGCTTTTTTGAGATTTTTAACTCTGGATGACAAGACCATGTAATTTCTCCCATCAACTTAGATTTTCAGTGAATTAACTGTGTCTAAGTAGTTTATTTAACCAACTACAGCATTTTAAGTGAAAAAAATTGAAGTACAATGAAAAGACACAGTAATAGTGCTGAGAATCACAATATGCCTTGTGAAACACAAAAATAATGTCAATACAAGTTTTTGGTAAGGTTTGGGAATGAGCTACTTACCTTTCAATGGCTAGTTCTTTGTTAGAAAGTTGCTGCACTGTAATCACAACTTTCTTCTCTATTCCTTGCTTTAACTTGAAATAAAATTTATCTCTATCCTTAGGCACTGGACTGAAACATTAAAAAGAACAAGAATTACCAATACAGTAATACAATAAAATAATAACATGATCCAGGATTCGAATACAACAAAGTATGTAAACAACAGCACTCTTGAGATGTACTAAACTCATCTTCCCACAAGTAGCAAACTATTTATAGTAAGCAATATAACTTCTACTTACTTTTGAGTTGGATTTATAGGAGCCTTACATTTTATTTCCTAACCAAGATTAAAATAAAGATCTAAAATATGACTACTTCAGTTAATATCAAATTTTAACTAATTTTAATATATTACATATTTAATTTTTTAAGACAATCACATTTCTGATTTAGCTATTGGTGTAACCAGAAGCACCCAAAACAAAGTGAAACCCAAGGCAAACACAGTAAGAACAACTTACTTTCAGACATGTAAAATTTGAGATGACTCTGATACATCCAAATAAACAATGGATAAAGATACAGATCACAGAAAGTTAGTCAAAATCTAGCCAAAGCCAAACAAACTATTCCTAAAACAAAATATTAATTAAAACAACAAACATAATTTGAACCTCTACTTATGGCACTGGTTAAAGATTTGAGAACCAGACTTCCATTTTTTTGGACGAGACCTATGTCCATCCATTGCTATTGACGGTGACTGGAAATATTAGCGTGTAAATAAGTTGTGTTTAGTCAAATGACCTCTGCGGGCACACTCAGAATGAGGCTGTGATCCATGACAACATATGAGCATTTCACTGCTTTCAAGGCTTCTTAGGAAGAATTCCCGATTCTTACAGCCAGTAGGCCCAATGAGATGTTTCACTTACCACATTGAACTAAAGAAAAGTATCTTATCAGGAAAGAAAAACACTGAACAACTTGTTTGGCCAGACACCATTTCTTTATCTGTAAAAATAAAGATAAAACACCTACACAGTGCCAGGTGCTGCTGGCTCATGTATATAATCATAGCTACTCAGGAGGCTGAGATCTCATGATTTCAAGCAAGCCCAGACAGGAAAGTCTATAAAACTCTTACTTCCGGGCTGGGAAGGTGGCTCAGTGGTAGAGCGCTTGCCTTGCATGCCTGAGGCCCTGGGGTTCGATTCCTCAGCACCACATAAGCAAAAAGAAAAAAAGCTGGAAGTGGCGCTGTGGCTCAAGTGGTAGAGCACTAGCCTTGAGCTGAAGAGCTGAGGGACAGCGCCCAGGTCCAGAGTTCAGGCCCCACGACTGGACCCCCCCCCAAAAAAAAACTCTTACTTCCAATGAACCAGCAAAAAGTCAGCAGTAAAGCTATAACTCAAGTGGCAGAGCATTAGCCTTGAACAAAAACATTAGGGAACAGTATCCAGGTCTGAGTTCAAAATTCAAGCCCTAGTACCCACACCAAAAACAAAGCCAAAAAAACAACCTGCCCAGCAATTTTTGTTAAAATTAAAGACACAAATAAGGCATATAAATGATCACTGAATAGTATGTTTCCTATTCATTGTTTTTGAACTAGAGAAAAAATACACTTCTTTATTTTTGAGTTAATGTTTATATGTAATGAGGAAGATTCATTGTGATATTTCTATACATGCACAAAGGGTAAATTCCTCCAACCATATTCCTATTCTACTTCTCTCCCTCTCCCTTTTTCAAAAAGTGTTTGTTGGGTTCCACTATGCTTTTCTCACTGATCTCCTCCCAGATAGTCCCACTTTTATATCTTGTCCCAATACCATTACTATCATCATCATCATTTTAACCCTATACTCCACCAATGAAAAAGAACTTCGAAAATTTGGCTAAGTTTCACTTATCTCATTGAACTAAAGAAAAATATTTTAAACAGGTATTTTTGGTGCCAGAACTGGGACTGAAACTCAAGGCCTAGGCACTATCCTTTAGCTGGTACTTTATTACTTGAGCCACAGCTCCACTTCCATCTTTTTACTGGTCAATTGGAAACAAGAGTCTCACAGACTTTCCTGCCCAGGCTAGCTTTAAACTGCAATCCTGGGATCTCAGCATCCTGAGTCCCTAGGATTATAAGCATGAGCAACCAGTGCCTGGCCTAAACAATTATTTTAATTAAGAAAATTTTACTAAAGCAAAAAGAATTGGAGGTATGGTTAAAGTGCCAAGCAAGTTTAAGGCCCTGAGTTCAAATTCTAGAAAACCAAGAAAAAAGAACTTATTAATAGATATCACTATAAAGAAAATGGAAATTAATATAATGGAATTAAGGGAAAAGAATATATTAATAAAAATAAGTCATAAAATTAAAAGAAAATATATTTATAAAGTGAACAAAAAAAACCTGTTAGAAATAAAGGGGACAAAATGTTAAGTGATTCTCTATGTCTGGCAAGATTACATCTATCATACTTTTACCATTTTACTAAATGTTATATATAACAATATCAATACATTTTAATCACTAGGAGAGCAATTTAAATATCTGAAAATCATGATAACAGTGTAACAATCAATCACCAGTCAAACATTTATTTACATTGAAAGCTTTATGTCAACACTTCAAGAAACTGTGTTAGTCATATTATATTTTAGGTACAAAATTCTTTTCAAATAACCTCACCTAAAATTTCCTTTTCCATCATCTTCTTTTACCTCCAAAGAAACACTGAAGGTAAACACATCACTGTCAGGGGTTGGAATAATCGAGTCTTTAGCATCAGACACTTGTCTAGAAGAACGTTTGAAGGCTGTACAGAAACTATATAAAATTCTGCTTACCTAAAAAAATAAAAGTAGGAATATTATTAGACATAGATTTTAACTGCATTTTTATATCCTTCTCTCCTAATTTGAGTCTTTAACTTTCATTACAGTATATATAGTATAAGCATTTATTGTTTAAATATTACATAATAAAATTTTCATCACTTATGCATTAAAGAAGAGTAGGTATACAACTGTGTATGATAAATGTAGACCACCCTAACCCTGTGTTATTATACCTAAAAACTAAAGTCAGTGTGAGGTTCAAGAAAGAAAGTAATGCTAAAGTATTCCTCAAAAGGTAATTCAATTTCATAGAATTCTTTACTTGGGGGAAATTAGTAATAGGACATGATTTCACAGAAATGATGCTCAAGTATGATGTTTTTAAACACATACTTGTAGTACAAAAGTAGATAACATTAGTATAAACACTAAAATTCAGAAGAGAACTAACGTTTAGAAGCTGCAAGTATGATCTAGGCATCCTGAGAATCAAGGGAAACAAGTGTGTTGAGGTCCAGTCCAGAGAGACAATAACCATGACTGAACTCTCCCATCACAAAAATGCATGAGACAGTGGGTGCTGGTGGCTCATGTCTGTAATCCTAGCTACTTAGGAGACAGAGCTGAGGATCATGGTTTGAAGCCAGAATGGGCAGAAAAGTCTCTAAGACTCATCTCCAATACTATTCAGAAAAAGCCAGAAGTGGTACTGTGGCTCCAGTGATAGAATGCTAGCCTTGAGCATAAAGAGGCCCCAGTATAGTACCTAGGCACTGAGTAAAAGCCCTAGGACTTGGGGGAAGGGGGGTGGCATGAGAAGGCATGATCAGGAAAACAATAGTACCAAGGGGATCCTTTCACTAATGTACAAAATTTTCTTTGAAAAGGATCTCAGCTAGTATCTAATGAAAAAAAAAACAAGATTTCCTTGAAAGACACTACTTAGATTTAGAATATATATATTTATATAAATATAAGTTGTCAGGAAAAACTTACTCTCTAGAGCAAAGAGTATTTTAGTCATAATATTTTCTCCCCAATATAGACAGCCGGGATCTCTATGGTTCCATAGACTGAATGGGTTAGCCTTCCCTTACATTTACTGCCATCAGTCAATAGTGCACAGCCTTTTATCTACAAGTTGCATTTCTATAATGTTACTCCAGTTGATTTTCCATGATAACCTTATAAAGTAGGCCTAAGTAGTATTTGGAATATGTCTTGAAAATTAGTAAAGTGGTGATAAATCAAAACTCTTGGTTGAAAGCTTTGTAAGGAGCTGCTCTGTGAGGTTATTCCGTTTCCTGCTATCAATGAACTCCTCTCAAGGAGTTATAAAAACTCCAGCACAATCAAAGTATGTATACATATATGCCTAGACTATATGTGTTTAAGCGAGTTCATATTGAGGAACTACAGCATTACTAGAAAATATTTAACTTAAAAAGTGATCTTTCAGATATTTGTTTCTTTCAACTCCAGCATTTAAACATGATAATAAAGATGAACTAATTTAAGTCACAAAAGAAGGCACATGAATATATACTAGGCTTACAAATATTCTGTGTTGCTGGACGCTGGTGGCTCACACATATAATTCTAGCTACTTAGGAGACTGGGATCTTAGGATCCCAGTTTGAAGCCAGACAGGACAGGAAAGTCTATGAAACTCTTATTAACCACCAAAATGCTGAAAGTGGAGTTGCTGCTTAAGTGATAGAACACCAGTCTTTAGTGAAAAAGCTACAGGAAAATGCCTCAGGCCTGAATTCAAGTCCCAGTACCGACATCAAAATTATAATAACAATTATACTGTAAAATATTGTAATGAATGGATCCTAAGAGAACTACTAAAATGAGGCTAACATCTACATCTTCCCAATGAGTACTCATAAATCAGAGTTTAGCTCATCTTCAATTTCTCTTTTTAACTCCCTCAATTCTAGAGGGCTACATACTGAGCTACAGAATAAAAACAAATTCTAATTTTAGTAATAAACATATATGACAATAACATGGTTTAAAGACATTCAAGCATTTTTCATCAATGTTGTAGTGACACAAAAGTACTAAAATATTTTCACAATGAATAGTGAAATGCTCAGTCTAGTTTATTAGTATTGGATCAATCTAGTGCTACTATATAGAACACAGAAATGGAACTTAGATTCTAAATATAAATATAGAATTTACATCCCAAATATTAATGTTTGCACACACACATATATACACATATATACATACATATAATTCATACATTTCCCCTAAAGTGGCAATTCAGTTGCGAGCTTCAAGCACAAAGACCCCAAATTTCTTGGCCTAGCCAAGACTTAAATAATGAAATTAATGTTGAAACAAGAGGGTAAATAAAGGTCCTATTTTCATTATTTCATATAGGGAAGTACAGTAAAGAGATTTCTCTGAGTACTGAATATTAACAAATCTTTCACTTTTGAATCAAAATATCATTGGATGTATTTTATTAATCTGGGAACACATGTTTTATAACTTGCATGAAATAAAACTGCCTTAAATAATAGAATTTGCGGGGCTGGGGATATAGCTCTGTGGTAGCATGCTTTCCTAGCATGCAAGAGGTCCTAGCATCACCAAAGGTAGTGAGAGTAGCATCTACTCAAGTATGGGGATTTTATGTTACTATTTTTGTTTTATTCATACATTCTGATATGAACATTTTCCTGTGTATACATAGTCTATCACATTGAAAATAAGTAATTCTCTATCTTACACAGCCATGCTTTCATCCATTAAGAGATAAGCCTAAACTAGACAGCATTTCCAATGACAGATTAATGCTTTGTTAAATTAACTGATTACTAGTTTTCTTTTTAATATTTTGAACAATCTTATAGAAATGTTCCTATCAGACTAATTCAAGTTCTAACTTTAGTAGTGGCACCATATTTATATCACAACATAAATAAAATATAAAAATATTTTACTGTTACCCCATTATAATCTAACAAAGCAAAAACAAAAAGCAACAAAGGATTTATATTAATATGCATTTAAGACATACATAAAGTCACTCATTTGGTAAGTTTTTGAGTACCTTCTGTGTACCAAGTATTACTTAGGTACTAGAGATTACAGAAAAGAATGTGAGACCTATATTCAACAAATATAACCTAAATGTGTTGTGAGTAGATAAGAAATCATTAGTAAAGTCAAAAGCAGAAATATTTTCCATAAGCTGAAAAGTTTTTAGATGAAGCCCAATGTTAAGTGTTAGGAAGAATGTATTAGGAAGAAAACAGAATCGAAGAACATGCTATAAATATGATATTGAATATTTCATCCAAAACATAGTAAATAAGGATTTACTTTTAGCCATTTGGCCATGTCCTACTTCCCACCCAAAATAAAATGTTTTAAAATAAAATAATTATATAGTCAACTTCCTTATTTTTCCATATAAGTGAATGAGTAACTTGACATAGTTTGGTATAAATTAATAGGCGCAAAAAGAGTCAAACCATATTTATTCTTATTCCCCATCTCTTTTCTAATCCTTTAAATTTCTTTGTGTAAGAAATAACAGCAAAAGTGGGCACCAATGGCTCATGCTGGTAATCCTAGCTACTCAGGAGGCCAAGATCTGAGGATCATAGTTAGAAGCCAGTCCAGAAGAAAAGTCTATGAAACATGTATCTTCAATTAACTACCAAAACAACTGGAAGTGGAGCGTGGCTTAAGATGTAGAATATTAGCCTAGAGCACAAAAGATGAGAGTTTAAACCCCAGGACCAGCACAAAAGAGAGAGAGAGAAGAGAAGACATGGGCTGGGAAGGTGGCTCAGTGGTAGAGCGCTTGCCTTGCATGCCTGAGGCCCTGGCTTTGATTCCTCAGCACCACATAAGCAAAAAAGAAAAAAGCCGGAAGTGACGCTGTGGCTCAAGTGGTAGAGTGCTAGCCTTGAGTTAAAGAGCTGAGGGACAGCGCCCAGGCCCAGAGTTCAGGCCCCATGACCGGACCCAAAAAAGAAAAAAAAAAAAAGAGAAGACATACACAGCACACTTACAACACCAGAAGGCCACACCAAAGAAAGTAAAAGAATTTAACAAATTCTAAAAAGATGTCAAGGCTTTAGGAATTTCTTCTTGAAAGGTTGTTTGTGAGGTTGAACCAGAGTAGTTATTATTGAAAAATAAATTTAAAAATCAGCCTGTACCCTTCTCTCTTTCTGAAAACAATATCCAACAGTGTACTGCAGTTCACAACACCCATCCAACTACATATCATACGTTTAGCAAGTTGCTATTTCCACAAAAGAGATTAAAAATTCTATAGTGTAAGAATAGGCTGAAATGACAATACAAGGAATGGCAAGGTAAATTTCAGAAAAATGACTATAGATGTCTATGATTCTTGAAACCAATTGGATAATCAACTACACAAAGAAAATTTAAAATACATATGATGTCAAATACTTCAAAACGTATCATATTAAAATACATAGAGGCAAAAAAATCTAAACAGCACTTTCTTTGCAGAGGGAAAGGTTTATTGACAGTAATAATACAGTACAATTCTTTTCCCCAGAAAACAGAACCTGTAGGAATACTAATAAACACAAAATTGTGTATCTGGATGCATTTGCCGCTGTTATTTATAAAAAGGTGGGAAGGAAACACATATAAATATGTGAAAGAGAAATATACCAAAATCTTAACTGTAATACAACTTCAATCACCTTTTATTTTCTTCGTTATTTCAGTATCTTCCAAATTCTCCAAGTATATCACTTAGTGAAAGTTCAAGTAATGTTATTAAATAACAAAGGTATTTATTTAAAATAAATAGAGCTGGCTTTTCTACAATAAATCCTTTCTATTAACATTGGTTTATGATCATCTTCTCTTTCAGAAACATCATATTATCAAGAAGAAATAAATGTGGAAAAACCATTCTATGAAAATAGGTATGTGCTAGTAGATATGATGGTAAATACCTATAAGCCAGCTACTCAGTAGGCAGGAAGATCATG